ATCGGACAGGGTGGCGGTGGCACCGCCCCTAGGGTGGCGGTGACCACCCGGCCAATCAGCTCGAGAGACCAAGTCTCTGGAGAAAAGAGGTGGTGCACCGCCCTCAGGGCGGCGGTGCTCGCGGCGGTGACCTCCCTATTTTCCTCTGCTCTCTAGATTTGTATGACGGTGCCACCGGACACCCATGGCGGTGCCAGGGGCGGTGCACACCGGTCACTCCGGTGGCCGCCTCACTCTTCCTCTTCTCTGCGGGGTCCAGGTGGGCACCGCCAGGTGGCAGTGCCCCATCAGTGCACCCCACTCTCGGCCTCCTCTGCCGATCACCACCACAGGGGTGGCGGTGCACTGGACATGGCATGGTGGTGCCCCCATGGCAGCACCCCAAGCCCGGCAATACCTCCTTTTCTTCATCTTTCTCACCACCTTTGCAAATGTGCTAATACTCCAAGTGTTTCACCATCACGTGCAGTGTGTTAGCATTTTCACAATCATTTTTCAAAGGTTAATCACTTTCTCACCGAATGTGCACTAGGCCAAAAATGCACATGCAAGTTTTCCAACATCTAGTGGCACTAGATGATTGAGTTGTCCGATAAGAGCTCCCCTCTTAATAGTATGACCATCTTTCTTAAATGTGATCACACTTGTTAAGTGTCCCGATCACCAAACCAAAAAGCTCCTATTAAGTTTCACCTTTGTCTTGAGCTTTTTGTTTTTTTCTTTCTTCTTTTTCAAGTCTAAGCACTTGATCATCATGTCCACACCATCATCATGATCTTCACCATTTACTTCACCACTTGGAATGTGCTATCTATCTCATGATCACTTTAATAAACTAGGTTAGCACTTAGGGTTTCATCAATTTACCAAAACCAAACTAGAGCTTTCACCGGGAACCGCCAGGAGCCACCGCCCTGTGCAGGCACAGGAGCATCTCCAGCCACCAGAAGAGAGAGAGGGTGGGGAACAGGGGCGGAGCTTCAACATGGCAAGGTTTGGCCACTGCCATACCTTGAGTACCTTGAATACTGTAGTAGAACATTTCAGTTTCATTAGTCTAGATACGGTGGTCTGCAGTTTATTGCTTTGTTTGCTAGCTACGCCATACCTTACTTTTTATCCGTCCTCCGCCACTGGTGGGGAAGAAGAGAAGAGGGCCTAGCCGCAGCCGTCCTTGCCTTCCTCTGCATTGCCGGAGTCCAGCTCTGGCGGCGGCCGGGCAGTGGCGGCGCAACGGGAGCGCTTTTCGGTGGGCAGAGCGGCGCCGCCAGGGCCGCCCCGTAGAGGACGACGCAGGGGCTGGGTTTCGTCAATCCTTGCTGATATCATCGATAAGATAATATACCATAAAATGTCTCAAGAAGATGTTATAGCTGGTACATTAGTTTTAACAATAGGCCAAAAGAAAATAATTTGTTGCAATATCTGAATGGATAATCTAAAGAAGACAGAAAGTGATAGACCTTGGTTTCATATCAGAGGAAGGCATCTTAGAGAGACTTTTTTCACTGTACCAGATGTAGTTTCAGTTTGAGCGTCAGTCAAGAGACGGAGGTCCATTATGCATACTCACTGCCATGGATGGCAAGAAGGGAGTTGCTGCCTCTTCACTGGTTTCCATTGGTATTGGATCAAAGCATGACCGTCTCAAGCATTTAGGAGTTAGGACCATTATGCACACCAAAGTCTAGCTTTGTCTTTGGTTTTCTTAGTCTAACACGTGTTGTGGCAAAAACCATCGACCAAACACTCTCACATCCCGCTCTTTCCACAACTCCCGTAAAACTAGAACAATTAGTGACGACACTGCCTTAACATGGGCCCGGTACTTACATCTGACAGCGTGCCACAAATGTGATACGGACATAAAATTGATTCAATGTTCGATGCTTGGTAGGCAGGCATTCGCCTAGGCTTGGATGTCATCCCAAAACTTCTTCAGGTACCCACAACGCACGAGTAGACCGATAGTTGACTCATCGAGTATCACCGGTTCGTTTGGGCTTGTTTGGCTTATAAGTCGTATTTTTTCAGTCAACAAAAAGTATTTTTCTCTCACACTAAATCAGTCAACAGTACTTTCAGCCATGATTTATCAGCCAAACAAGCCCAAACGAATAGAGCGTATATCTTATATAATAAAGGGCAAGCACGCTGGTTAGGCCATCCATGGGACACGAGTCGGTCCATTGTCCATAGGAGATCTTAGATTGCAGCCAGGCAAAAAAAAGTTACAATTTGGATCTATCCGTGTCTTTTAAATTATTAATTTTCATCAAATATTATGTTTATCGAGCCAATGAATTAGGCGGAGTAGTCTTACTGATAAGAGCACCCACCTTAAACGGTGAGCTTCCAAGTTTGCACATAAGGGTTAAGACAGACATCTTGCAATTTACTTTAAATTTGACAAATGCAGTGTTAAGACCTTGTTCGGATGTACTCGCATCTACCAAACAAGTTCTAAGTATGCACAGAGCTGATTGTTGTAAGGTTTAGGTCCTAATAATCGGCGAATCCATTTATCTCCTTCGATTCGATATCGTACCGTTCTTGATTTTCCTCTTGCATCCACAGTTATCTCCTTCGATCGTACCATTCTGGTTTCCCTCTTGCTAATTGCAAAGACCGAGGCGCCAATTATCTCCACCGAAAAAAAGAACACCTCGATCAGCTAGCTATCCGGTAGCTCATGAAATTCTGCAGCATCGCCTGTGCGGCGGTGCCTTGCCATCGTGTAGGAATCGTTCGAAATTCAGCCTATGTGTGTATATAGGTCCGTATCATTATCGTCTCCGTTCGGGAGAGATAAAAAGGCCATCTCCTTATCGTGCCAGCCCCATGCACCTCTCGCCTTCCTGCCTGCCTGGCGAGACCGTCAAAGCTGAGACCGCGACGGCGCCGGCCGCGTCCGCCACTAGCTAGCCGGCCGGGGATTCGCCGATCCGTCGTTCTTTCGTCCCCCGCCAAGAGAAAAAACAGATACGCCACCAGCCGAGCTATTTCCTTCCAGGCGCCCGGATAAAGCCGCGCCGCTCCCGCCCGGCCCCGTCACGACGTCGATACCTGTACGCGCGAGCGCTCTCGTCCAAGAGTTGTTTTGCCGGCCCCGTCGTCCGCGCGGCGGGGGCCCGGGGCCCGGGGCCCCGGTCGGTCTCCGCGCCACGGTCGTTCACGAACGAAACGTGCGCCCACGAAACGCCTGCTAGAAAACTTGTGGCCACGGACGCGGAGGCGCCGGCAGCCGGGCACGGGCGCCGCCGTGGCAGTACGGCCAGGAGGTATTGCACGTACTAGGACTGGACGTCGCGTCGTCCGCGCGTCGTTGTGTGGCCGTGCCACCTCGCGCTGGGCGTTGCCTCTGCCGTCGCCTCAACAAGGCGCGGTGGATGATTGATTCAACAGTCCGGCAGGGTCGATCGTCCATTTCATTGCAAAAGTTGGAGCGTAGCCAGCCAGCCGTAGAATAGCCCGGACCGGCGACTTAGGACGTCGTGCCATGATAATATAGGCCACCACGTTTTGGGGTTTTTCCGGATAAGCTTCAGAGCCCTTATATTATCCCAGCATATAATGTTCCACATTTGTTTTTGAGTTAAATGCATGAGTGGTCCATCAACCTGTGCTCTAGTTTTATTTAGGTCCATCAATTCTAAAAGTGGGTTTTTTGTCCATAATCTTTGTCAGTTGCGCACTCCTAGCCCATGCCCCTTTGTTTCAATTTTTAACCGACGTGGTTGTCCATCGTGGCGTCCAGGTTGGATTTGGCGAGACAGCACGCGCCTGCGACCTCATGCTACGCCTGCGACCTCATGCCGGCAAGGAAGCACGCTTGGCCCCTCTCCCGGTACTCCTCTCGTCGGACACGCTGGCTCGGCTCAGCGCAGCTCGGCCTGGCGCCTTACTTTGCACAACGGGTCGTCGGACAACGGCGCGTAGCGCCGACCGCTCAGCAGATCCGGCCATGAGTCGAGGATGCTGTGACCTCGGCGTAAGCGCGCGCCCTTCGGCTGCTATGCCCGCGCCCGAGCCATGTCCTCCGCCGCCCACGCGCGCGACGCCGCTCGCCCCCTCCATGGATGGCACCACTTTCGCCGCCCCAATGGCCGCAGAGACCACGCGGCGTCCTCGCCGGCCACATCAAACGATCGCCCGGTCGCGGTGTCGAGGTAGGTGCACCGAGCCATGTCCTCCGCCGCCGCCTCACGCAGCGACGCGCCTCGCCGACCTCCATGGGCGGCGCCACTTCCGCCGCCTCCAACGGGCCCCACAGAGACCACAGCGTCCTCGCCGCCACGTCAACCATCGCCCGGTCGGCGGTGTCGGTAGGTGCACGACTTTGAACAGCACGTGGCCACCTCGTCGATGGAGTAGGCCACGGCACGTCCACGAAGAGCGAGAAGCGCCTCTCTCCTCCCGCGTAGAGAGCTCGCCGACGTCCACCGTTGTGTCGATCGCGGCTCTCGTAGCTGCCCGGACTTGACCTCCCGGACACGCACGCCGGGTGCGAGCACTCGAGGGAGATGCGCGCTTTCGCACGGGCGACGGAAAGGAGCCCGCCGATGCGATCGCGCGAACGCGTCTGGATGACGGCGTGGTTCTTGATGTAGGAGAAAGCGCCGCTGTGACCTCCGAGATGAAGTGCATAGCCACCGCGTCATGGTGGTGCCGAACCCGAACGCAGTGCCGCCGGCGCGGTCGGTCATCGGGCTGTCGGCGGTGGGCACGATAGACGGTGGCACAAGGACGTCGTGAGGTGTTGGCCATGTTGAATCTATTGTAGGCGGAAGGCTTGACATCTCGCTGCTCTGGTTGTCTTGATCGTTGGAGAGGAGGATGATCTTTGGCGACGGCGTTCTTGTGCGGCGGCCGTCGAGCACCATAGCGGCCACGTTGAGTCCGTCGCGGATGTTGGTAGAGCCGGACGAGGCGAGAGACTCCACTGTGGCGCTGGCCATAGCCTTCCCCGCCCTCGGACATGCGCGCGTCGGCCGGATGACATGGCGCCCGTCGTGCGAGAAGGCGACGACACCGAGGCGGTCGCCGAGCCAAGGTTGTCGATGAGGAACCCCATGGCATGCTTCACCAGCTCCAGCTTGTGGCCCTCCATGCTCTCGCTGACGTCGAGCACCGTCACGAGATCCAGCTGCGCGAGCCGAGGACAACTCTGCCGCCACGGCTGCCGTGGGCACCTTGGCGTGCACGAGCACCGCGAACCCATCGCTCGCCGTGGCCTTGGCGAGCGCCGGGTACTCGCCGGGATCTGCTTGAGCGGTCGACGCCTTGGCGCCCGGCGTATTGTTCGGCAACCACAGTAAGCAAAGCAGGGTATTTGGTGGCTGAAATGAGCCGAAAGCCAAGGTCCGTGTCGACGAGGAGAGTACGGGAGAGGGGCCGCGCGTGCTTCCTTGCCGGTATGAGGTCGCAGGCGCGTGCTCTCTCGCCAAATCCAACATGGACGCCACGATGGACAACCACGTCAGTTAAAAAATTGAAACAAAGGAGTATGGGCTAGGAGTGCGCCACTGACAAAGATTATGGACCCAAAACCCCAGTTTCAGAGTTGATGGACCTAAGTAAAACTAGAGCGCAAGTTGATGGATCACCCATGCATTTAACTCTTTGTTTTTTATAAAGTTCTTTTATCTGAAGCTGTATAGCAAATAGGTTTAGCCGCTGTGTGAGCATTACCGTAAATGGGAATTGCTGGTGCTCGGATATCCGATAGGATAGGATTCCATCGGATGGTACCTAACAACCTAGCAGAAAGTGCTGCACTCCCACCGTATCGCTGCAGTTCTTCCTCGTCTGCCTCATCCCACCACACATGCGTACCCCCTCCCCGTCCGTCTCGCCACGCCATGCTCCCGCCGCTCCTTCCCCCTGACACCCTCCTCTCTCTCTCTCCACATGGGCGAGACCCGAGAGCCGGGATAAGGACGAGCATGCCCCGTCCGCAAGACCCCAGGCGCGTCGCGCGTCCCATCCACCGGCCCTTGGCTCGCCGCGCCCCTTCCCCCAGAGCCCGGGCCGTGGCCCCATGACTCTCTAAACATTCCTCTGAAACACAAAATACTTACAACATGAAACATTTGAATGCAACAGAAGTCTAAAGCAAATGAAACATTGAAACATACACTTGCAACGTGTGTGTGAAAACATATGCAACGTCCAGATAAAACACTTGCAACTTGCAACATGAAAACACTTATTGCAACATAAGACTGAAACAGCTGAAATATTTCGAACATACTCTTGCAACATATGTGTGAAACATAATCAACATCCAAATAAGCACACTTAGAACATACGTCTAAAAAAGCAGATGAAACATTTGAACGGACGCTTGCAACGTATGTATACAACCATTGCAACATGTGCAACATCCATATGAAACACTTGCAACATACCTCTGTAACATCGGAAACAATTAAAACATACTCTTGCAACGTGCGCTTTCAATGTAACATCTCCTTGCTATTTGGCAGAACGGAGGCTAGTCGGTGTGTGGTGTTCACTGCAGCGCCCTGGCGGCGATTGTAGGCGGTGGGCCGACGGGTGGCTGCACGTCGTGGAAGGAAGGCATCGACTGCACGAACGGTGAGGAGACCGTGGCTGCGCGATTTGGAGAGGGCAGCAAGGCACCGCGTCTGGCAGGGCCGGCAGCCAAACGCCACGACTCGGAGGCAGCTGCGCACCGTGCCTGGCAAGGCTAGCGGCCGTGCGCTTGGAGACGGCGGGCGAGCAGATAAATGCGATAGCAAGAGGAACAAGCAGATAGGAATAAATCGATGAGTATTTTTTTTTTAAATGAAGGAGCGTGAATTATTAGACTGGCGTCTTGGTTCAGAGCTGGGCGGAGGGACGTCCGGTTCAAAGCATTCTCGTAAATAAAACCGAAGTTCTTTTATTTATACGATACAATGAATAAATGTAATCAACCGACAATAGTCGTGAGTACTATCTCTCGCCTGTCCGTACACATAAATAGGCAAAAGCTGCTCTTTCCTCTTCTGTTTACTTGGCCGTTTACTATTCTCTCCCCAGCAATGGCGCTCCTCCGTGACCCCTCCATTCGACGACGGACCAAGGTAGCTTTTCTCTCTGTATGTAGTCTGTTCATCTCACGCCACCGATTACACGCTTGGACGATGCTTGCGAATTGCGATTACACGCTCACGCGTTCCTCGCTCGATTCTCTCTTCAATCTGCATCTATCCCATCATGTGCAGGCACGTCGCCACGGCTTCCGCGCATCAACGACTGTCGAGCAATTCACGTCGTCGACCATGCAGAGATGATCCTCGGCCGGCAAGGTTGGTTTTTTTTTTTTTTTGGCCATGTTTCCTGATACCACATGGGCACATGGATTGGATGAAACCTATTTACTACTCGAATTATTATTGCCTGCGTTCGACCTAGTAGATATCATCTATCGGAGTTGGTAGCTGCAATTGGACCATAGAATAAACGGCACATGCATGCGCCCGAGCCGCATCGTGTTTGCGAGGGCCCTTGCTAGTGCCCTACAGTTGTGGGGCTTATAACCAGAAGATCCGGTTAGGGAGGCGTTTAGCGCTGGCCGCTGGGAATATCCGTCCCCAGGAGAATATCCACTCGCTATATTCTGTCCGTAGCTTTCAACTGGTCGCCAGCAAAATCTGCCGGATGGGCAAATTAGGGTGCGTGTGATCACCAACCGGTGTGCCTAAAGAGCAAGCAGGAGCCTCCTTTGCTTGATCGCCTCACGCCAAGCACCGACTAGAGTTCATACAACAGTGCAGGCTACTGCCTACTAGTACTTGTTACCTGTTGACCTACCACCGTAGGCTCATAACAGAATTCATACAACAGTGCAGGTTACTACTAGTTGTTACCTGCTGACATACCACCGTAGGCTCATAATAACAGAAAACTACTTGGGTGTAGACGGTCAGTAAACTAAACGTACAAGAATCCTATTGGGTACCTTTGTTTACAGAGGTTTGCAGAGCTGGTGATATAAAAAAAGTTGGATAATCTTGGGTAAAAAAAAGCTCTTAACACAAGAAGAAGACCATGGTAGAGTAATAATAAACAAATAAAACAATCGTGGGTGTGACCTCACCGGGGAACGACCCGAACCACAGACGAGGTAAACGGGGCCCCGGGTCATCACGGCCAGGCAAAAAGGCTGTTGTGAATTTCTCTTCCCTATAAGACACGGAACTCCTCGGAAGCCACAGAGCCACGGGCGAGGCCGCGCCCCAGAAAGCTGACCTCCGCCTCCCTCACGGTCCGCGCAGCCAGAAACAGCTCTGCCGTTCCCTTGGAAAAACTTCAAGGACAGTGGCGGCTGGCACTTCTCCTAGCTTCAAGGTGCTTCCTCTTCCTCCGTTCCTTTAATTACCTGAGCATGCTTTCAGTTACCGGAGAGATGAGCACTAGTAACGGATCGCCGGTTTTCTTTCCCTCGCTAGTTGGCAGCAGCCTGATTTGATTTCCTTTGTATCCCAACCATTTCTATTCTTCTTTCTTCCCTGATGAAGAGCGCGATCCGTTGGTGTGTTGCTTTCCGTACCTCCCAGCTCGCCTTTGAAGGCTTTGATGCTTCTTTTCCCTCCCTGAGTTGGATATCTGAACGAGTGTTCCTTGCCTTTTCTTCCCATTGAGTTCAGCCACCAGCTATTCGTTTAATCAATTGTGAAAAGCACGTTCCTTTCCCTTTTGTTTGGCGATTGGTTATACGGAGCAAACCGGATTAAATCGCAGTGTTGCCTTTGATGTTCATGTACTCCGTAGATGTTTGACATAAGTTTTGCCCTTGTTGTTGACATACTTTCCCCGATTTACATTCAGTTTCTGCTGTCTATCAAAGGAGTTTAATACTGCCAAGTTATGTACAGATAAGTATTTAGATATACATCGCAAAACTATGGATGTTTGGTTGCTTTATATACTTATTATATCTGGTGGGAGTATGTCTATTTTGAAGTATGCGTATGCTTATGCTGATGTCAAGTGCTGTTGAATTAACTAAATTGATAATTTAGAGCTGTTCCGCAATAATAGTTTACAGCTCATTATCGATGCCATAACATCCCACCTAACATGTTAAAATTGAAGTAGCTACGCTATCATTTGGTGACAAAACGATAACCAGCTTATTTTCCTTATTGTCATGGGATTATACTTAGTATTACAAAACGAAATTGTCAGCTCGTATATATGGTCTTGTGGATGGTTCTGATGTCGGTTCTATTTGACCTTTTCAGGCACGACCAACACCGTTAAGGCAATTTCATATTCCTGGCTTGAGCTATCTTTGCAGGAAAAATCAGTTCAGATTCATTCATGGGCTCCTCAAGTCATCAGAAAATAAAATGTGTAGCAGAAAGCCCTTGGGAATTCAACTTTTGAGTGTGTCCGGGGAGTCCCATCTCCTTTAGATCATGCCAGGCTCTTGTACTAGCACTGACGTTCTTATCATACGCCAGCTACCATGCCACTAGAAAAACTACAAGCATTGTCAAGAGTGTTCTCGATCCTAAGACAAACCTGGGTACGTTGCATTGGCCCAGTCATCTCTATCTTCAAAACTTGAAAGGTGCAGAGAGCAATAATACAACTCTCTCCAGCGGTTGGGCTCCGTTCAACGCTGAAGACGGCACTGCATTGCTTGGCGAGATTGACTTGGCTTTTCTTGGTGTATATGCAATTGGCATGTTCTTTGCTGGCCATTTGGGCGATAGGGTGGATCTGAGGATCCTGCTGACTATAGGAATGATAGGAACTGGATTGTTCACCGCCGCCTTTGGAGCCGGCTACTGGTTCGATGTACACAACTTCTACTACTTTCTGGGCATGCAGATGATTTCTGGTCTGTTTCAGTCATCTGGATGGCCTTCAGTGGTTGCAGTAGTTGGCAACTGGTTTGGGAAGAGCAAGAGGGGACTGATAATGGGAATATGGAATGCTCACACATCCGTAGGAAACATATCTGGCTCTCTGATTGCTGCTGCCATGCTGAAGTATGGGTGGTGCTGGTCCTTTGCGGTGCCCGGTATCATGATCGCACTGGTCGGGCTCACGGTGTTCCTCTTCTTGCCTGTTGGGCCTGATGTGATTGGAATCCAGGAGGATCTCCATTTGAAGGATTATGAAAAGAGTGACATGGACACTCCCTTGTTGGAACGACGCTCATCAGATGTAAAAGAAAAGGCGGTTGGATTTATTGAGGCGTGGAGAATTCCTGGTGTAGCTCCTTTTGCCCTCTGCCTTTTCTTCTGCAAGCTTGTGGCCTATACGTTCCTGTATTGGCTTCCCTTTTATATCAGCCACACAGGTATGTCAAGTTATATTTTTGCAGTTACCACAGCCTCTCTTTTTTTGGCTTTTAGGAAATGAACCCTTATTGCACACTGTGATAATCAGAAAGCATGTTTTGGTGTTGTTACAAACCTTATGATATGACGCACGTCACTAGTTAGAATGAGTGCTTGAGATATTATATACTAGTGTCGAAGCAAATTAGCAAGTGAAATTGTAAGCCCTTTGTGATGTGCAAATCAAACTTTCTGACCCTTTATATATGTTGACAAGCACTCCCTAGAATTGGAGCTGACTTTTCTAAACATCATAGCATTTCAGTTGCACTGGGTTCCACTGAAATGCACTCTGCAACCAAGGTGCTTTTTGACTTGCTAGTACAGGGGGGAAAAGTAATTCTTGGCATGTTTCTGATTTCTCACTCTGCTTAAGTACTTTTAGGTATTTGATTGAAACAAACCATGAAAGAAAGCAGGCACATGATGATGTGAGTGTTACTGGCCAGTGTGTGGCAATATGCTGCTGCGTGAATAATTTGACTTCTGTGTTTCAATGTGTATAGTAAAAGTAGTTTTTAGGCTATGAAAGATAAAGAGTCTATTGATTAATTCTGAAATAACTCAGCATCATGCCATAGATGCATAAACCATACAAAAATTAAAAGGTTTTATACCTTTTACTGCATTGAATTGCAGGTTCTAAGAACTTTTTTTTACACTAACATCAACACTCTGCCTGTTCCTGTTTTCAGCTATCGGTGGACAATACTTGTCAGACTCGGAAGCCGGGGTACTGTCAACTCTGTTCGACGTGGGTGGCGTTGTTGGCGGCATCCTCGCCGGCCACATCTCCGACCACCTGGACGCCCGGGCGCTGACGGCCGCGAGCTTCACCTTCTCCGCGATACCGGCGCTCTTCTTCTACCGCATCTACGGGAACGTCTCCCTGGCGTGGAACATCGCGCTCATGTTCGTCACCGGGATGCTGGTGAACGGGCCCTACGCGCTGATCACGACGGCCGTGTCCGCGGACCTCGGCACGCACAGCTCCCTCAACGGCAACTCCCGCGCGCTGGCCACCGTGACGGCGATCATCGACGGCACGGGGTCGATCGGCGCCGCCATCGGGCCGCTGCTGACGGGGTACATCTCCGCCAGGAGCTGGAGCGCCGTGTTCACGATGCTGATGGCGTCGGCGCTCGTCGCGGGGCTGCTGCTGTCGAGGCTGGTGGTGGCGGAAGTGGTCGCCAAGATGGAGTCCCGGAGGACGCCCGCCCATGCTGCTAGCGACCTGCCCGTGTCCTCCATGGGAGAACCGTAGATCGCTTCTGGCTGCGCCGTCTGTGATCTCGTGGTGACGTGGAATGGTGGCGGGAGCGGGACAGCAGACCACCTGTGATTTTAGGCCTGAGGGGAGCAGATCAACCGTGGGATCTTGCTCCTGGTGTGCCGTGCTTCACTGCTTCTTGATCGTCATGGTATATATGTATATCAATATGGAATGCCTTATGGTTGCCGATGAGGATGAATGCGGTCGGCAGCAGTTTCTATCTCTGCTCTTCTGGGGAGCTGCACGTACCGCAATTAGACAGGCCATAGTCAGACGACCTTGTATTAGCGAAAGCAAATCCAAGAATGAAAGTACAAGGTTCCACAACTAAACATGAGTTTTAGCTGCGAAATGTCCTGCGGCGGTGTTTGTCGATCTAAGATTGGGAACGTCGAGTGTGATTATGGAGATCGTACATACAGAGCTCTCTTGAAGACCACCCTTAACTCTTTGCTTGTGCTTGGCGGCGCCCCCGGTGTTCCCCTTCTTCCGGCCGGAAATTCGCGTGCTGGGCGCCGGCGTCGATGTGGCGCCGCTCGCTGGGCGCAGGGCGGCGTGGGCCATCTCCAGCTTCCCCGTGCCAGATCTTATCGCATGAAAGATCAATGCGGTACTATTATTATGTTTTCTTAAATTATGTCAAAACTGTCCTATGTCTATTTAAATTAGCCTGGATCCAATTTAAATGTCAACATATCCAATCACACGAAAATATATGCACGTCTATTGATCCGCCAATACAAATATATAAGAGAGAAAAAAAAAGTGTAAAAGTGGTTGACTAATTTATAATTAGTTTGGGACTCCTCATGCAAAATTATCTTCTCTATCCTACGAGTGAGATTCTGAGGTGGTAGAGAAACCCAATAAATATACTTCCAATATTTTTAGCCATTTGGAAAACTTATTGGTTTATCCATTCTTATTTTGGAAACTATCAAAGATGCTCTTAGTTGGTCTGGTTTCCTCGCAAACTTAAGAGGTCATTTGACGCAACTTCAAAAACTGCTCCAAGAGTTGTTTTACAACTTTAGCAATTAGACGCCCCCACACACCTCGTCTTTCGGGAATAAGCTCCGTGATTCTTGCTGAGAGAAGAAAGCTAAAAAAACTAGCTTCTCTCAACTTCGTCTTGATCTGGTGGACCCCACCATGACCATGGCTAACTCTGCCACCACTAGCAGTGGAGGTCGCCGTGGGGACTGTCGATGGCACGGTCACGCAAGTTTGGGCGGAGATGGTGCGCTCGCCAGAGCGCAGGGGCCAACCCGTCCGCGAGCGCCTAGCCACGTAGGGAGGGGTGAATGTGGCGTGCTCATTGGAGCACTCGTCGATCCATGTGGGTGCTCACCGTTGAGTCACGGTGCCACACATGGGCGAGCTCACCGGGGCATGCCACGCCAGTGTGGGGCCGACATGCAGGCGATGGAGGTGGAGAGATATAAAGAGATAAAAGAAATAAAGAAAATAAAAAAGGAATTATAGGTATTTTTCACACTTTCCAACAATCATGAGAAGTTGTTTCCTCAAACGGTTCACAAAAACATATTCACCACCACTCGTAAAACTGTTTTTAGAGCTAACGCCAAAAAAATTGCTTCACCAGTGAAGCTAAGTTACGCTAAATAGGCCCTAAATCATGGACCTTGTATGTGTTCATTAGTCCTAGAAAACTTTCGATGGTTAGTTGTCATAACCCAACGGTCATTTCAACTTGAACTTTTCAAAAATAACCCTTTAAACCCAAAAACCTTACCAACTCCTCCCAAAACCCTGACATGATACACCTCACTGTGGCCCCGTTCGGCTGGTGCAAAAATCAGCAGGAATTTCATTGTTCACAGATGAAAGTTACTATTCACAGCTGATTTTCTCTCACAAATTCTTTCAGATTTCTCTAAATTTCTCCAAGCGAACGGAGCCTATATATTGGATCACCAACCTTATCAACCATGGCTCGAGAACATAAACCTTATGTGGCAGAACCGTCTGAAATAACGTACTTACGGAGACGCTCGTCTTCCACCAGACGCTAAGCACCCCAAAAAGCAAGCTACAACGGACGGTATCCGTCGGGCACACCCCGAGGGAGAGCCCGAAAGATCCACATTTTTCTCCAATGATCCAATAATAAGAACGAGTTACAATACTTATCCATTTCATACATTTGAAGTTCTTAAAAATTACATTATTACATTACCAAATGTCAGAGTGCGGAATAATAAACAGCGGAATAAAGATAAACATCGAGAAAACAGCTATCGGTAGTACGCAAGGATTTCGTCTGTGCCCACCAGAAGAATCCTTCACACAATGGTACTCCTCATGCATTACCTACAACATGGGTAAATAAACCCTGAGTACACAATGTACTCGCAAGACTTATCCGACTAGTAGAAATAATTTTCCGACTCCAAAGAATATGATGAGCTTTATGGTTTGTTGGTTTCCTTTTCGCAGAAAAGCGTACTAATAGTGAGTCCTTATGTATGTTATTATTAATAGCCGTATTAATTCATTAGCTAGCCAGTCTATGTAAGCACCTGTTCTACTTTCAAGCAAGATTTGAGCAATCAGTTCCATTTCATCACCTTCCATCTTTTAGTTCTTACTACGATGCTAAACCGTACACAAGCCGTACCGGAACGCCGACGATTCGCGAATCAATGCCCCCAGTTTGGTACCCTGAAAACACACGCTCCGCTTGTACCCCAGGCACAAGCAGGACTAACCCATCACCCTCCTGTCCTAGGTGTCCTGGTCCCCGTCCAAACTTGGACTCCAAGCCCCCACTCCTGAGTCCCAGACTCAGTGCGGTGCAAGGACCTCCACCATCCTCGCCTCCGATCAGTCGGTTCAGAAAGAGCCGGATCCACGACAAGATAGCAACGAGTCTTCCCTGTATCTATACCCAAGTATGTGCTCGGAATAATAAGTATGTGACTTGCCTAGAGCCTTATGCAATGACCGATCCTTAATTGACACAGACAAGGAAAAAGTGTAACCAAGCTATGCCCTATTGGCCGCAGGACACAACCTCTTACACCCACCAGTACCCAAACCATATCCCTGCGCGGTCACCACTTTTCCTTTCCACCACTTTATCTTGAGTGATCATAATTATCACCTATTGCGAGTAACGGCAGGTTACTCACGCTACCGAAATCCTGAGCATAGCAGCTACTCGACCTATACTAGTATGACTCATAGGTAGATATATTTATGCATGTAGTTTCCATAAAATACATGTAACTTAAATGCACATCATATATATATATATATATATATTCAGTGATCATTAAAAATAGGGGTTATGCACCGGGACTTGCCTTGGGCAAGCGACGGGTCAGCAAAGTCAGCATCAAAAGGCTCCGGACTCCCTCCTACACGAGGATCTCCTCCTTGTACTCCTCAATGACTTCCTCGTACTCCTGTTCATCCACGGGCACGAACTCTACAAACTCGTGATCTACACGTATGAAATGATGATGCAACACTTAGTAATACGACAACAACAATTCTTAAAATAAAAATGCATCTATCTAACTACTAAGCTCGTGCTATCGACCAAGGTACTAAGTTACCAACTGTTATCAATAACAAGTATGAAGCATGCCATATATTATCATAGCAACTATAGGTATTCTTACTCCTAATGCCGATTTACTCTATATATGATAAAACAAGGATAATAGCTACTCTATTCATCAACCTACTCTAGGGCTACAAAATTTACAGCAAGTACATAATAATCTAGTGAGCCTACTGTAAATTTTTCATAGCTATAGCTATCACCAATTTACCACAAAAATACCTACAAATATTAATCTACATAATACTAAGCTCTCGTTTGGATTTATGAACCTATCACTATCATAGCTATCTGTAAACTAACTACACTAACAGATAGATGGTATTTTTGTGAACCTAACAAACTTGGTTTCACTATTTTTGGACATCTACATAATTTACTATAATTTCTTAAAATTCAGCTAAAAACTATATTGAATAAACATTTGTAATACACTAGAAAATTGGAGAACCGATTTCACAGCGCGGCCCACGAGCGACGGCTCGGCCCACCCCGGTGTCCCCCGCGCACGCATGCGCAGCACCCGGTGCGGCCCACGCAGCTACGCGCGAACGTGGCCCACGCTACGCGGCCCACGGCGGAGCCCACGCGCGGCTGGCTCTTTTGCGAAAGAGCCCCTATTCTCTACCCTATTCGCGAAACTCACTTGAGCACTATTTCACCGAGTCATGGAGTTTGCATCTACCACCCTTCCCTTTTCCTTCTTTACCGCGGCCAAGTCCCCCGGCATCCGCGCGCGCACCGGTGCGGCGGCGCTGGCACCGGGCGACTACGCTGACCACACCAAACCCTCACAGCCCTATCTAAGTAGCTGATAATCACCTCGACGTCAAGTCGAAGCGATGGGAGGCGAGATGGTGAACGGAGACGTTGTCTCGAGCTCCCTCCACGGCGGCGGACTCCTCCCTACGACGACGGGCGCGTTCCCGTGAGCCAAGGCACAAACAACATGAACAAGCTCAAGGATGGGCAACAACGACTCACCCTAAACCTACCGGTCATGGTGGCTTGATCGGATATTGACCAAGCGAGCCTGGCCACGCGCGCATGGCAAGCCTCGCGACGACGGCGATGGCGCGCAATCACGGCGGCGGTAATATGAAAGGTGGCAAAGAAGCGAAAGTAAATGCGTGCGACGGATAGAGTGGAGCAGGGTGAAGGTACCGTGCCAACAAATTGGATGGAGGTGGACGGGGGCTGGGAATTGGACGTGCGCTACCGCTGGGTCTTAAAATGAATGACCGGCATTGACGACCGTCAAATTGAGGCTCAAAGAACGGCGGCGGTGAGTAGTGGAAGGGTGCGGCGATAGCTAGGTCTCTACTCCAACCACGGGCACATGCAATTTCATGGATTTGGCCGACGTGGCGCGAGCTTTGTTTCCGACGGCCCGGCGACA